AATCCAGAAGCCTCAGCTTCTTCTGCGAGCTTTAGCCAGACATCTCTTGTCTGGGCAACACCACGGCCTATCAAGTTGTCAACAGCTCTCCCAATAATAACCTGCACCATCTTTTCATTTCCTTGGGTTTCTTCCAGCTTGCATGCAGCTACCCATATCTCAGGCGAAGTTGGGCACTTTTTGCGCGCTTCATTCAAAACCTTTTGAGCCTCCTCATAAGTGCTAAGCCTGGCTAGAGCCAACCACATTTCGTGGGACTGCGGGACGCATTCAACAGCTCGGGTCAGGAGAATCCGAGCATTCCGTTCGTCTTCTAAACTGCACGCTTCTTTCCAGAGTCGGGCAGAATTCGGAATAAATTCCAGAGCCTTTCGCAGCACCAGGCGTTTGTCAGTTATGTCTTTTTCCCTGCTGTATGCATCCAGCCACAAGCGGACCTGCGCAGAAGCAGCCATACAGCAGTCATACGCTAGATTAACAATGTGGAGTACATCTGGGTAATGCAACTCACAAGCCGCTGAATTAAGGAAAAACAACGGGCATCAGCAAGTAATACATATGCAGGTGCGGGCAGAATGCAAGAGTATTGGCGTATGACCTTTACTAATTGCCGGCCTCTTCACTAGCAATCAATGTACTCAGGAAGCCAACTGCTTCGGGGCTTACCGAGTGCGGAAGCACAGATACTGCTTTCGCAAGGACTGCCTTAGCGTTGCGGGGCTTCTCGAGCCTGGCGGCCTCCAGCCAAACGTCTTCGCTTTTCGGGCACCTCTGGCACCCGAGAGATATCAATTCGCGTGCTGACTGCAGCTTTCCTGAATCACAAACACAGCACATACCAAAACTCATCCAAATAAAAAAGAGGATCAACAGTTATACGCTTCATACATAATATAGGAACAGCGTCAGTGCAGCAGCAACTGCACGCCAAACTGTACCTGCCAGCTCTTCCAAACGCGCAGCCGCAATCCAGCCCGGGGCATGATTCGGGTTGGTAGATATCACCGACTTCAGCAAAGTCCTTGCCTTTTTGATATCTGCAATATCCGCATCGCTTTGAAGCTGCGTATAAAAACCACAGATTGACAAGAATGGGCTATGACAGGGCTTTTCGATGCTTGACAATGTGAATGGTAAGTTTCCAGGCAATACGCCTGTTCTCGTTGCAGAGGGAACGTATACTATCTCGGAATGTCTCAGTAGTGTTCCAACTAGTATCCTCAGACGTGGGAAGGACGCACCTGCATAGAGTTAAGGTCTGTAAGGTATCCTTTGGGGTCGATGACAGTTTGGCCTGAAATACTGTCCATTACTTTATCAAGTTTGACTGAGAGTACTGTTCCACGGGCCTCCCCGAGGTCGTTTAGAGATGGTGTACTGCTCCCCATGGGAGTCCGCAGACCGAGTGGGGTTTGAATTCCTAGTGGAGTTTGTAGCCCAAGAGGCGTCGACAGGCCACCTCCCATGAGGGGTGTTGCCATCCCAAAACCGATAGGAGTGGCAGTTCCTGCCGAGGCAATCGAATTAGAGAAAGACTCGCGATTGCGAGCTTCGAGAATCCCTCTGTCAGACGCAGGAGTTAGTATTTGTTGCTTCTTTTGCTTCCGTTTTAGTGTGTAGTCCCCAATATCTGGGATGGACTCCCACTCCTCTGCAGAGAAAACACAACACTCAGTCCACACTTAGACTTGTTGATGTGCTTGAAAAAACTATTCCGACACAGCTGCATCAATGCAACAGTGCACAAGGGATTCTCTTATCTCGTTCACGATTAACCCAATGCTGTGACACTGAATTCACCTTGCGTCACAGTAGCCAATCCCTTTTTTAGGTCAGCGAACTGCTGATGAATTGTTGGCTTCTCCGCGCGCATCTTGGCAATTTCCTCCTTCAGTCGGGCCTCCCTACGCGACCTGCGTCTTCCATCCATCCGGTGGTCTATGGATTCATAAACTTCATCAGCAACTCTGTCCTCCTCATCGTACCTGCACCAAAACGCCCCTGGGGAGTTCGTATTCCGATAACACTGAAGTGCTGCCGGTGCGTGCCAATAGCGATGGCACGAAGCCAGAAGTAAACGCGTGCAAAACAAGCAACAGAACCACTATTTAATGGAAATATACGCAAACGAATACACACTGAGTCATGCCTTACTCCCCATCATTGAAGAGATTCTCTGCATATCCAGTGAATGGGTCGAAATTCGCGTCGCTCAAGTCGCTCTTGTCTGCGGCTCCCTGAGTGTAATCAATAGAGTCATCACGACTCACACCTCCAGCAAAGCCTGTTGCGCCACGGCCTCTGCCGGGAATGTAGCCTGGAGGCGGCTTCCCAAAAAGTCTGAGCAAAGCCAAGAGACAGGCGCATCGACTCAGAGGCACGAGTGGCCGCAGCACTGTTATGTGTGCTACTACTATGGGCAAACGGGCAAACTCTCCACATATATCCGACAAGCCACGCTAGCCAAAGCCAATCCTTAAACGAAGTATGGGGGTAGCCTGACGAAGTGCCACGGCATTGGCAATCCTCACTCAGCAGCTCGTCTTTGGCTCTCTGCACGGGATGCTGCGTCTCGTATTTCTCTGAGTTTCGCACTGGATGCCACAGGGGCAGGAGCAGTCTCTGCTCTCGTGGTAAAGGCAGTGGCTCCACGGCCAAGGCCGGGAACGTAGTTCGGAAGCGGAGTGTCATTAGCTCCTGTGGGGACGAACTTCCGAGCCCCAGGGAGGAGTGACCGAGACATTTCTACAGTCGATGTAAAAACAATGGTCCTCCCAGCTACGTACTAGCCAAAAAATATTTCATGCAGAAAATCGAACATGGAATGGCTGGCGAGCGGGTAGAGCAAGCCTCAGAAGGAACTCGATGTGCGCACGTCGAGCTCCACTAAACAGCGCTCCATTTGCCACCAGCTGATGGAGCGAAGCCTCTGCCGTGAAAGGACTTTGGTAGTGGGACGTATTTACGAAAAACTTCTGCTTCGTCAACTGCTCCCTACTGTTTCACCTGCCGGATGCTGGCTTGTCTACCGAGGAGGGAGCTTTGACTGAAAAAATCAACCCCTTTGCCTTTAGTGCCTGGCAACGCGACTTAAGAAACTTGCCTCGACCTCCCGCACACGGAAGTGGTCTATTATGGCCCCCGATACGTTGGGTACAACCAAAGGGCATTCGAGCGGGTGACGGCAGACGTTGCGAGCCACAGAAACTTCTGCAAGCAATAATCCGACAAAGGAAGGCCCAAATTATAAAATGCCGCCTCCCTCGTTTCCATTTTGGGTCAGTCACAAGTAGCAGAGGCTCTTTGAAACATTGGAATGCATGCGCTCGGGCAGCCCAGCAGCCTTGAAGCCCCCCTTGAACTAGAAGAGAAATACTCAGAGTCAGCAGAGTGGCCGATCATATACACGATTCTTATGCGTATTCAGTTACTGTGGCCACGTAAGAGGCAGCAGGCTAGCCATTCTGTGCCCATGATGCCGGCAACTTGCCATAACTTGTAGCTGCCGTAGCAGACATATCTAGCGGAGGAGCGGCCAGCGAAGGGTACAGAGGGAACTTCGTTTTTGAGTTTCTATGCTTATAGTTATATTTGGCTCTGCTGGTGTAGGGGTAGAGTAGATCTGCATAGAATGCCTTTTCATTTTCTGTCGCACGTGCCAACTGTGCGAAAAGTTGCATGTTGTGCAGCAGCAGCAGCTCGGTGAATCTCGCTGCTGTGCCTAACACCAAGAAAGAATCACATAACAGAAGTACGAATAGAGAACAAACGAGTTCATGGGTTCGCTACTAACAAGTTCGCGACCCCAACTTAGGGTCAGCAAGAAGATACGCTGTTCTGTAGTAAAGCACCATTTATAATGTGCTCAAAGGGGACGCAGCTCGACGCAGTTATTCATTCCACGGCTTTCCTTAATTGTCTCTCGTATGAACTTCCCTCGCCATTCCACTCCTTGCACGAGGAGTGAACGCTACAAAAGCGAGAACGAGACTCTTTGCCAAGTAATAATAGCGGTTCCATTGCGCTTTTGGAATGGCTGTAAAGCCAGACTTCATGCTGGCCGAACTGAGAAAGAGTCGTACAGATACTTTGAGAACACCAATATACGGTAGCACTTCTATTCGTCACAGAGGATGGACGCACAGTTAAGTGCGAGTAGGAGACTGCAGCAGAGGCCTTCCATTCAATATCCTTGTGCTTCTGACAAATAAGGGCGACAGGCCATGCATTGTCCCAGTTTGGATGATGCCTGGACGTTTCAGTTGAGTTCCTTAAGGAACGGTGCACTCGAGAGGAGCGGTGAATCCCCTCGTTGTTGGTACTACTGCAAGTTGCTTTGAAAACTGCTCGCTGCGTTTCCGAGGAGGCTAGTCCACCGCGATGTGTAGCTTTACAGCATACCAAAAGATAACACTTAAGTCATGTGTCCGCATTTAACAAGTAAAGCGGTTCGTGCTGCAGGGTGACGGGGACCGTGCAACACGCGGCAAAACTGCCGACAGGCCCAGTGGCCTGCTTCCTCCAAAACGGGTGAACTCAAGATACAAAATAATGGCGGGCCGCAGTAGAAACATATAATATGAAGCGAACGCGTCTAAAAAAAGTAAGCGGCCGGCTTCTGACTACTTCCGTAACCCAACACAGCGGATGATGCAAACAACCTCCCAAGATTACAAGGGAAGCTTCGGTGAAGGGGAGCCTGTTAACGCTGCCTCACCGGAAGGCTTTCGTCCCAAGCTTCTACGCCAAGAAGATATTGCACCACTGCCACACAAAAACTCTTACACAAGTTGCAACACTGGGTACGCCTGCGCCGCCACGACTAGGCAATTCGAAACTTCTACAGAAACGGACGAAACGAAATCGCTTCTGCCTCACCGCTTCTGCTTCCAAATCCCCAAAACAGTCTCGGCACCTTATCGGGAATACAGCGCGAGCGCAACGACAAAAGACATGGGCATTTCTTATTTTGAGTGCCATGCTCACGGAACCGCATTCAGTCAAGTCTGGCCACCACCATATACGTCACTTCGATGTTGCTGCTGTAGGAGAAGCAGCTGCCTCTGAAGCTGTTGCAAACGGAGCACCGTTTGCCTCAAGCGTTGCTCCTCCAACACGTCCTGCTGTGTCGTGCGTGTCGACTCAAGCTGCCTTCCCACTTGTCCCTGCTGAGGAGTGCTACTTATTGGCGACTGCGCCATTGACAGTCGCTGAGCTTGGTGTTGCAGGCTCCTGAGAGTGTCTTGAAGACGTTGTTGGCGTAGAAGCTCCTGTAGCTGGCGCTCCAGTTGCTGCTCGACTCGTGGACTTATGGCACTTTGAGGAGTTGCTGAAGTCTTCGGACGGATTGTACGCAAATGAGCAAGCTGCTGCAGCACTCTAGGGCTGCAATCAGCATTGTGCAGTGCAGGTGTCGGCCATCTCCTCTGTGCCGCCTGAAGCAATGCAGCGGATAGTTCCTGCTGTTGCAACTGCTGCTGCAGCACGTACCGCAACTGCTGCTGCAGGCGCGTCTCTTGGGTCGAGGAAATTCTCTCCGTTCCGGCTTGAGGTTGTTGATGCCCGTACTGCGGCTGATGCTCCTGCTCCTTTGTAGTTTGGACTAAATGCCAAAGCGAGAGGAGTGTTTCACTACTCATTTCTCTTCGCTCTCTTTGGAGAGCGGAAGAGCTAACTAAAGACGCAGGCTGCTGCACCGAAATTGGCGGTTGGAGCTGCATTGCAGAGCGCCTCAGTAAACCTGTTCCACTTGGCACCACTGTGGCGGAACTCCTCACCGCTTGAAGGTGGGGAGGCTCAGTGGGACGCTGCGAAAGGCTCGCAACAGTTCGTTGCTGCTGGTCCATACTTGGTTGCCTGTTGGTCTGCTGCATGTGAAGTCGCGCAGCATGCAGCACAGCCTGTTGCTGGCGGAACAGTGCAGCACTTCTAGCATTCAAGCCGCTAGCATCTTTAGGTATTCTGCGAGGCTGCGAAACTCGCCGCCTCCTCCAGGGCCTGAAAAGCCGATTCAGCCAAAAGGGTTCGCCCTGAGCGAGTGCCTCTATGTCTGCGTCGTGTGAGCACACATGCGGTGCCAAACTACGGACAGGATGCCTCGGCGGGACCACGCGCTTCTCAAATACTAGTAAGCTCCGCAGTGCTGCCGTGGCGTATTTGCGAGCCGATTGCACGCATAAACAGTTCGTCACTTTTGATGAGGTCTCTGAGCCACAAGTGCAAGCATTCGCCGTGCTTGTGTTGCTGCTGGATGCTTCATTTTCGATTCCCTGGTCAGAAGTCCGTTCCTGGCGGTTACAGTGGCAGCCTTGGGCAGTGTGGTGTAGATGCTGCAGGACAGATATGCTGCTAGGCAATGAAGAGTCCTCTATTGAGTGGATCTGTGAAAATAGGCTCAGAGCTCTGGCGAATCTGGAATTCTGTGCAGCAGCAGCAAACGGATCCAGTGTGCGTTCTGTCTCATCTTCTGATGACGCCTCGTAGTGTGACCCAGCTGATATATCCCTGTCACCGAATTCAGTCCTTTCGCCTTGCGTATGGTCCAAACCCGCAGTAAATGTTGACGTGCCGTCCGAATCCATCCGGCTACTCCCTCCTGAACAGTCAGCAACAGTAGCGGCTGCAGCGAATGCCGCTGCAGTGCGAGTGCTTTCCGACTTCCCAGCCAGCGTGGAACTGCGTGTGCGGCGAACTGTCGAACATTCTTCTTGTTCATCAACCTCAAGGGACACTTGAAGATTTTCCCCTTTTCTTTCTATGCCTGACGCACCACCTGTTGCCGCGTGGTTCCTGCGTCGCTTTAAAGCGTCGGCTGCCACGGTGCTAGTGTTGGCGTCGGCTGCTTTCTCGGAAGAAGCTTTGTCTTTACAGGGTGTGCAAGAACGGCTTGCACGCCTCGCAAGCTCCGGCGACTGCGTTTGTTTTGAAGGGACCTGCGCCTTCACACCTTGGGCTTCTGAAGAATCGAGCGGCTGCTGAACCGAGTGGTCGCCGCGTTCAGTTTTCGAGCGAGTGCGAAACTTTCTGCGCCTCGCTGCAACCCACGACCTTATCCTCTTAGACTGCAGCTCATCTAACCGCTTGCACAGCTGCCGCGTACGAGCAAGAAGGCTTCGGGCCTTGTCAACAAAGAGCCGCTTCAACGCGGCCATCTGCAACTCCTCACACGCTGCCAGCTGCTGCTGAGACAGGAATTTTGTGCGTTTTTCTGTTTTTTGCTCCGCTAGAGTATTCAAAGACCCAAATACGTGGTGCAGCAAATCCTCGCTGAGGCTGCCCGCACCCTCAACTCCTGTACTAGTCCCGGCACCCACAGTACTGCCTTGCTGCTGTGCTTTTCTGTCCTTCTCCAGCTGGTGCTCTTGCCCCGGGAGATTTGAAAGCCAACGCTCTTCATGCACGTCTTCTTCAAGTTGTTCCCGCCTATCCCCCCTATTTTGCTGCTTATTCATGCGTTGGCTGAAAGCCTTTGCCTTGCACAATGGGCAGCTCCAATGAGCGTTGGGCTGGAGCTCCGCAGGCGTTGGTGGAGGAAAAGCACAACCAATGTGGAAAACATGCCGACACGACTTCGATGCAGCTGGTGCAGAAGGCGAACCGGACATATCGTCTTTGGAGTCTAGAGCAGATGCTGGCATACCGTCACAGAGCAACAAGTCTCCTTCACCGCGGCATAACCAACACAACTGCTCATGCTGCAAGGGCTCGGACGTATTATTCCTTTCTGTCTGTCTTTCCGCAACTCTCAAAGACGACCCACCGCCAATGGCCGAGATAAAGTAACTGTTTGCAAGATTCTTCAGCACCAGAGAGTCCACGACAGTTGCCATCTCGTGCAGCTGCTCCTTGCTATTAAGCGGCGGGAAGGCAGCGCACAGCCTCTCTAGAGTCTCCATCAGCAGCACACCCACTGACACGGCTGCCATTCGAGGTGGCCTGGTGTTTCTGGCATATGCTGGAAATGCTGGCAGCATCAGTTCCTTCACAAAGACTTCCAGCGGAACCGCGACTGCAGCTGCGGGATCCGACGGCGACCCAACCGCTTCAGCCTCCCGCGGCTGCCCCACTCCTGAATCGGTTTTTGGAAACGCATGTGCCATATCACGTATTGGCTTGAGCACTTCATCTCGAATGACTTCGTTGTTCTTCGCAAGAAGCAAGAGGAAGGCCTCCATATTCAGCGTTTTACCTCCAGACCCCCGTTTGAGGCGCCGAGCAAACGCCTGCGATAGCAGAAGCGCAGTCTCCTTGAGAGGGGATTCCTGGTTATTCTTCATACCATTGTTGCTGCTCGTGCACATAATGAGGGCATCAAGAAAGTCACTCAGAAGAGGAAGACGCTGCGGCTGCTGCTGAAGATCATCCGGAGCATTTTGGGTGCAGCCTTGCTGTTCCTGCATCAGCAACGTGGGAGTACTTCGTTGTCCCTGCTCTGCATCACCAACTGACGGTGAAGGAGTCAAAGGGAATTCAGAAAGAAAGCTTCTGTAAAAAAGACGCTGAGCGGCAGTGGGTAGGCTCTGCAAGAAGCTCGAGGCTGTCTCCGACAGACACTGAACCGGAGGCACCGTAGGAGGCCTATCTCCTGCTGCTGCTTCATCGTCCCCATCCCCAGAAAAACCGGCTGTCTTTGCTTCACATGCGAAGCCTTCATCGTCAACTACACCGTCTATCCATTCCTCGACAAGGAAACGGCTCCTATTTGAGCTAATCGGATGCTGCGAAGCAAAAGCCTCAAGAAGCCGCAGGCTGCCTCTCTTTATGAAAGCCAGGCAGTGCGCGAGAAAATACTCTTCGGCTGCCGCAACTTGCGGCACTCTTCGTTCAGACTCGCATGTTTGAAAGCTTCGACGACTGCTTCCAGTTTCTGCCCAGTGCTCCCCTTCTGCGTCGGTAAGTCCTAAATCTGACTGATCCGTCAGATAGTGACCACACAAAACACGGGGAAGCGGTGGCATCGGAAATCCCGAAAACGGACACTGTGGCAACAAGCCTTGTGAAGGCTGCCGGGAGGGCTCGGCTACCGACTCTCCCGATGGCTCAATTTTGTCCGCACTGAGTAAGATATTGTCAATGCGTCCTTCACGCTGCTCCCCTTCCAGTCCAGGAGAAGCATGTGGACGTCGGGCAGAAGTAGACACTGTTGTGGTTGGAGGTAAGCAAAAGTAGTCCAGTGCGAAATTCCTGCCGTCTTCCCTGGGGGGTAGTGGGAGTTGTAGACACTCGTGAGCAACAGCTTCCGCAGCGCGCAACCCTGTAGGCATAAACAATATGGCATAAACAATATTAGCACCTTAAGCCGATGTTATTAGCGCTTTTTCGCTCGATACTCCCAAACGTCCCTCATATTAGTGTGCACTTGAGGTGAACAAATACGCTAGAGACATGAAAAAGCCTGCAGAGTCCCCGTTTCGCACTGCGGAAAAACAGCCAACGGCTGAAGCAAACGCTTTCTATGAAGTACCCACGTGAGCCAGCTCTCTAGTTTCGCCAGCTCTCTAGTTTTTTCCAGGTCAACATCTCTAAAATTGCGATAGCAATACAAATTATACGGTTACCAATATTGCTAGAGTTAGATAAAGTGGCAGAAACACACCCGTGTCATATGCCCCATCAACACACTGGAAGTAGGCCTTGCTAAGGTGCTCTCCACAGAACACCACGCGAGGATCATTAGCTGGGTGGGGGGCCCTCATGATGTCGAGGTCGTTGTCATAGGCGTTCACTCCCTGCAGTCTCAACAATACTGATCAGAATGAAATGTGACGGACAAAACTGCTACCTATCGACTATCAGCCTCTTTAGTCGCCTCGGTTTTGAGCTCCCTTGCAGTGTTCTCCATCAAAAATCAGATTTAGGGATCTGAGCTTAAGTACTGCCTTAAAGGTCCATGGAGGTGAAATGACATCAAAGGCAGCTCACAGGAGTAGAGTAAGAACCTCGAGAAAAACAATCTTCATCCCAGCGTGACACCACGAAATCAACTGGCCGAGGGAAGGACGAGTCAGATATGCCGAACATCCGCTGCAGCAATGCCAGCACTTCGGCCACCACCTGAACAGCAACACAGCAACACAACATGCAGGCTAAGGTAATCCCTGCCTAATGTGGCGCCTCCGAAGCTTTCCTGCTTGTCGGCTCCCACATATGAATATGAACCAGAAATATTCGTCAACGAGATCTGGGCTCACCTCCTGATCCGTAAGAAGACCTCCGTAGCCACTGGAAAACGGAGGGAAACAGTGGGCGAGGAGGCAGCCCGGCTTCCCATAAGCATGGAGGTTCAAAAATTGAAACTTCTGGTCAAGGCAGTTCAGCTGGAGACCCCGACCATGCCAAAAAACATCATCGGGGTGCCACCGAATGACCACCTGATGCAAAAGAGCGCACAAAACAGAATAGTTACTCGCACAAATTTACCTTTGCATTCGTGTCACCACCGCAATGCCAGGGAGCAAAAGTACAAAAGATCCTCGTAGACGTTCACGCACTACTCTACAGACTATTCTACAGAGATCAAAGAAGAGGCTTCGCTAATTAAGCGATGAAGCTTCCGCTGTCGCTGGCTACTTCGCAGACCGTGCAAAACAGACGAGCTACTCAAAAAGTACAACACGGCAAAGGCAACAGGTGTACGCACTTTATTGTGGCAACCCATCCTATAGCGTGCAAGAGCTCGGCGCCTGTCGGGACCCAGAGGAGGTGAAAAGTCAATCAGCCCAAGAGTTGGCGGAACTGTTCCCTCAGCGGTCAAGGCTCGGGTCGGTGGCAAAGGCGCTAAAGCAAGTTGCGCTAGCGGGACAGCCACCACACAGTACTTCGCGTGCGCCCTGACAAGAAAAACGGTGGCGACATGCGAACCTAATAAGATGCGAGACCCTTCGTGGCCACTCCATGCCGTTCTGTTTAGGATGCGAAAAGTGCACCAGAAATGAGCACTGGCGTGAGGATGCATCAATGTGAAAAATATTTGGTCGAGACAACGCAGCAAATGCTCAGCAGCAGGCCAAAGGGCCTTGAGGTGCGCACCGTACACTGAATATCAGAAGGTAACCAATGCAGCGTTCGCGATTTCCGAGTACGCAGATACAATCAGGTTCTTACCAGACGTGGGTAGGAGGCTCTTCTTGCTTTTCCGCCTGTGGGAGCCCATGAGAGGCCCTATGTCGGAGGCGACGGTTGACTTCAACTCGAAGCCGTACAGGATGAGTTTCAGTGAGGAGAGATCTGCCACAGTCGCCCTCTTCTTCCTGGGCAGTCAAGTTATCCCCTGACGTGCCTCGTGTGACACCTGCACGCGAATCGCTCTTCTTTCCAAGCGGATTCTTTAAAGCTTCCACGGGGTTGGAAGAAACAATGCCTCCGTACTCGGAAGTACGAGTGCGACCCTCCTTGACACAAATGGACTGGACAGTGGCTTCAGTTACAACAAATGGAGAAACTTGTAAGCACAAAAATAAAGGGAGCCAGCCCCAGCCATCCACCACAAGCTTATCGGCGGAGTTCGCAGAAGACGCGGAAAAAGGATACACGCGGACATTTTGCTCCTGTTGCAGGGCTGCCTCCAGCGATGACTGCTGCATGCGCAGTCGCTGCATGCTGGGGGGGGGCGGCACCACAAGAGGCACTGGCGGAGGCCCTCGCTGAGGGTTCAGCAGCTGCTCCCTCAGGGCCGGCCCCACTCCTGCAATTTCGTAGGGGTAATTCTTGACAGCAGACAATGGCAATTCCCTCAGATCGCCGACATAGCCCAATCGTGACTGCAAAACGACCAGCAGCATGCGGGCCTCTGTTGGCGTAAGGGTCGGAGAGTTGCGATGCCTTACCACACGGCAGTCCTTAATACTGGCCTCTTTGTTGCCTGTGCTGCAAGTCAAAAGCCCTTCTTCTGCCTCAGCCTCTGCCAGTATTTCGCATAAGGAAATTTGCAGAGCATCCCATGCCGACCGTCGAACGCCCCTATTGTCGTGAAGCGACAACGGAGGTACCAGCCGCGTCTGTGTGTAAGCTCCTCCTGCTGTGCTGCACTTCTTAGGACGACTAGCCTTTAACCCCGGCTGGCCAGTACTGTTGCTACTGCTGTTTGCGCTGCCTCTCGTTCTCGTGCAGACACCAGATTGCCTCTTCATCCATTCCTTCCTGGGTGAAGGCTGCTGAGCAGAATCAAGCTCGCCTGCATCTCTGTTCTCCGTTCCAATGTCCCCGGCACAACGCTGATTGTTCTCATAGGTCGAAATTGCTTTGTCATCTTGTCCCCCTGAGCTTAGCTGTGCGAAAGCTCCGGCATTTGACGACTCCACGTCGGTGCTCACAGCATCAGCAGTCGGTGTTTTTGAGGTCTTGGCATATCCCGCTGGCGGAACAAGAGTAGCGGTTGGTCCCCATATTCTCCCCTTCCTTAACTCAATATCTTCCGCACCAGCGCTAACCGGTGTGGCCTTTTCATCTGCTTTCCGCTGAATTCCACCACAAATCCCAGTACAACAAAGGGGGCATCCTCCGTAAGCTCGGATGGCTTTGCGAACGAACGCATCCCCTAAAGGGTAGTACAGGGAGAAGCGAGAGGCTGAGATGTGCTGGTGAAGACTCTTTCCTTTGGTGCCTGGAACTCCGTGACAGCAAGGGTCAGAAGGGTCATGTTGTTCAGTGGATCTCTGCTCTTCTTCGCTCTCGAACCCTCTTTGGTCTGTTGGAGGTGCGGAAGAAGATGGGCCGTTCTCACAATTCTCCGAACTCGAACGGCGAGGAACGCCTATGGTTTCCTGTTTGACGGCTTGTTTGCGAAAGCCAGAATGACCCAACTGACGCCTGCCCGTATTGTTTGTAACTTCCCCTAGTGTCGACGGACTTGTGGCTTTTGCGTTGCAGACGGAACGTTGTCTCTTCAGAGCGGCAAGCAATATCTGGTCCAGAGAGGGGGAGAGGAACTCTGCAGCAGGAATGGTATTTGGCAAGGAAGCGGCGGGGGGACCCACGCTCCCCCCTGGAGTGAGGGGTGGAGGCAGGTGCAACAGCTTTGCCGCCGTTCTCTCACGTAAGCGGTCAAGAAGCTGGTGGACTTTCAACACAGAGACAAAAGGAATCTCTTTTCCCGAATTCTCGTCATTCCAACTGCAACAACGCCCAGAGGAGGAAACATTGGGGAAGGGAAATGCTACCACACATTGCAATGGAGGAGGGAAACGCTACCACACACTGCACATCTGGCAATGTCATGGTAATTTTGCTGAAGGATATCAAGTGCATGCGCCTAAGTCCGTGAAGCATATGCTCCTTTCACGTGCCCACGCACTGCACTCAACGATGCACGAGTGTCCACTTCTTAGGCTGTGCAGTGTGAAGATATGAAGACCAACCAAAGTGTCCAGTTAGCAAAGTCAACTCCATATAGGGCCTTGAGCCTACGTACCTTGCAAACAAAGTAGATTCCCAGTTCTGCTTTCCAGCAACGTCGGCTACTAAAGGCTGTAGGACCGCTGCAATGCCACTCACAGATCGAGATGGCTCGCGGCGCCAGCGGCAGTCTGTAGTGCCTTCGCCCTCCTTCGGGTGTGCCGTTACGCAATGCATGTACGACGCTCCCAAGTCAATGACAACCCCTAAAAAGGGAATAAAAAACATTAGCAAAAACAAGGCTGTTGTGTGCGAAAGAATTACGGATGCAGTGAGGGCAAGCACCAAGGCAAACACCAGAATATAACCTGCTCTGTAGCCCGCCATCTCTGCAAAATTCAAAGCTGCAGGCTGAAGTCAACAGCAAAAATGAAAGTAAAAACTTACGTTCGACTCTGCGGCCATCAGGAAGTTCCCTCTCAGGCATCACGGAAGAAAACGTCCGCCCCCCTACCCGCTGACGTCCTTCGAAGACGATCACCGACGCCCCGCAACGCCGAAGATAGGCAGCAGCTGCCAGCCCTGCCACTCCCGCTCCCACCACTGCTACGTCAACTACGAACGAGGGCACCTCTCCTTGCTGTTGCTGCTGCTGATCCTGCTGCTGAGGCCGCCTTACACTGGCCCCTCTCTCCTTCCCCTTCGCTTCTGTTTGCTGATGCGGCTGTTGCTGTGGGATGTGCACCTTCTCAGCGCCAAGAACTTCCCTAAGTGGAATGCCAAATCCCAGAAGGTCTCTAGGCTCGACTGCCCCGAACACTGAGACACAAAACGTAGCAGAATCGAGGGAGATTACAGCTGGCAAATATGACTCACTGAAAGCCTACAGAAACATGCCCAAATACCAATACGCTCGCCTGCTCACGAACTTGAAACAGAATGCAGAAGAAAGGCACATGAAAAACAGCAGTTGCATCAATCTACACCATGCAAAAGATAATTAGCAAGGAATGCATGCAGTCTACGGTGAGAATCCACCAACAGTCGTGCAAAACTTGAACATATGGCAGGCAAGCGTCCATGATTCAAAGGCCGCGTGCTAGTATGAGCAAATTTCATGACTTTGCTCTTACGGGAGCGCCGGCAGAGAGGAATTTCTTCAGTTTCAGCAGCCGCCCGCGCTTGTGGTCGCTTGCGGCCAGCAGTTCTCTGGCTCCATATCTGCTGCTGAGAGCACTGCGATGCTCTGCCTGCGCCAGACTCTTTAAAGTCTTCATTTGGCCCTCCGTTTCCCTGCTGCTGCTGACGCAGCAACTCCCTCAAGGACGCCACGCGAGCGGAAACGTCGCGGGAGTAACAAGCATCAGCAGTGAAACTTTCGTACTGAGACAAAGGAACTGCGGCGCAGGAGCTGACGTAAGAACGAGTGGAACCAGGGGAGAACTGGGGGTGATGCTGACCACTACGGCCTGCTAGGCTCTCGTTTGCTATCACCTCTTCCAGAAGCAAAGCTGACTCTGCAGCCTCGACTACCCGACGGCTTGGAGTCCGCTTCCTCTTTGTTGTAGTTTCCGGGAGAGTTTCCTCAATAGCAGAGGGAGAAGACCCTAAACGGCGCCTTCGACGAGCCTTTCCATCCCTACCCCCCTGGTCTGAAGCTTCATCGCTTCTGCTTGGAGAGTTACAGCCAGAAGTCCCTCCCTGAAGGTGCTGGCTTTGCCTCTCCGCCGCGTCTTGTGTACTCTGATGATCACTTAGGTTTGCACTGGACTTGTCTTCGGGGGCAGCAAGCCCGTCCTCGTGAGGCAGCATTGCTGCTCAGGCCCCCCGGGTGCCTGCTGCAGTCCCCTGGCAGTCTCAGCAGCATCTGCCCTCCGTGGGATGCTCAGTGCCTGGACAGTGGCAGGCCTGTGTCCACTATCCACGTCGCTTGCTTTTGCAGCTTCATTTGAAGGGGCGCTGTTCGGAAGCACAGTGACTCCGCACGGAGACGTTCCGCTGGCCAGGCCAATCTGGCAGTGTTGTTCGTAACCCAAGCAACCGCAACAGCTTGGAGTTGTGGAAACTCTCAAAAACACTCGAGAATATGTTTGCCACAGAAAAAAAGAAGCGAGGTGGCGCTCTCCCCTAACAGTCCAGACAGCCACATCGAGGCGACGATTACTCAGTGCTCGTGAAGTTCCCACCAGCGCTTCACGCGTTCAGTGCAGTGCAACTCCCCACTAACAGGGGCTGATGTCTCTCTAGGGTAGCACCGTTGAACAGTCACCAAGAGAGCTTGCAGAGAACAATGTGACGCCCGCTCGAAGCTGGTCTTTCCACAGGGCCTGAGGACGGAGATCATTTACTGTCAACTATCAGCAGCATTCTATAATGTGTATTCTTCTGTCCAATTTGACTATTCAGTCGTTGCGGCTTTCCAGCAGTGCATGCGTAGATGATGGAGAATGGATGGGCCTTGGTGTGGGGGGGCCCACGAGGCGCAAAAAGCAAGCTGCGCTCGACACAGCAAAGAAAACAATGATGAATATACTTTTTATTCTAAAATCAAACGCCTGCCTTAACCACTGCATAGACTGAGTGACAGAAATAGGTCTTAGCTAGCAAGGGCATCCCCCCTTATCTCGTCGTGCAATGTCTGTTCAATTAGCCACGGGAAGCTATCCGACCCTGGGGTAGGTCAGCCGATTTCTCACATTCCTGCATTTTTGTATATTTCGTTTACTGGGCTGCTTCTGGACAACAAGTTACCGCGACGCTTTACACACTGGTGGTGCTTGGATAGCTTCTAGCGTCACGTTGCAGTAGTATCGTATTGCACGGAAGCGGAGAGCGAACAATTTCCAAAAGCTCTTCACCGTGTTGTAGTTCAGCTGCTTTAATCTTTTAGGTAGCAATGAAGAGAGATTATGTAAAGGGTCGTTGAGCCCTTTTGGCGGATACGAGGAAATGCAGCCTGGGAGTGCGCTACTTTTCAGTGTGCATAACCGAGGAGAGGGTATGTTTAGATCTACATGCGTGTCCTCAACTTTCTTTTCACAGCCGTGCAGCCTTGTGCAGTAAAGCAAGCGTTTCAGGCTCTTTATTCCTGTACCAGGGTCTATTCAACCAAACAAAACAACCATTGCCCCAAGTGACCAAAGCTGGCCCGAAAGGCCAAAGCTTTTGGTGGCTTATGTTTCAGTTGAGACTTGAGGTGAATCTAGCTATGAAAATCAGTGCATCATGACTTCAGAGCTCTCAGTATGATGCCAAGGCTCAGTTTAAAAGTTTGCAAAGCCCTGGATGCCACAAATAGGACTTGCAGGATTTAGAACCACTTGGATGAGAACACAGCTAGCCGTGGAGAGGGTTCGGTAGCTCAGCAAGAGGGTAAGTGAAAAGGAAGATAACAGTGCCATCGAGCCACTGTGGCGGGAAGGTTTCGTCGCAAATATGAGTTGCCTAATAGTATCTAACAACCCGAAGAGCCTTAAACTCAGCCATGACATCCTGATCGGCGTAGCAGCCAGCGAAGGCGGTACTTTAGAGAGGCCCGTACACTGCAGGACTTTCTTCTCGCAACCTTCTAGCATCCGTTGTCTTTTTCACCTATTTTTAAGATTTTCACACACTTGAGACAGGGGATTTGCTCCGCAACAAAGAGTCTACTATGGTAAGCGAGAAGGAATGCCTCACCCACGGCGTAGCTACTTTTACTTAATAAAAATTTAAGAAAGTAGAGGCTTCAAGATTACGGGAGTTCTCACTTAGGCGAGAACAGCCGTGCTGATGCCTGTAAGGCCAGAAATGGCCTTCACCACCTATGAGCAAATAATAGAAATTCGCGGGATATGTGTAGAAACGGAATGGCAGAAGCTCAAAGCGCCTCATCTTCTTTGAGTCTCTGCCAAATCCTCTGCCAGAATCCTGCTTGTTTCGGAGGCAATATGGCGCTACTGGTGTCAAACATAAACGCTTCTGCGGTCAAGAGTGCCTGAAGAGGGCTCCTGAAGCCCTCTTCCAGCCATGCTCGCTGAGCACTATTGACAGCTTGTGGAGAGGAGGCCTCGCCAGTGAGCCAGCCAGCGGAGCAGTGTCTGCCTTTGGTACTTAATTCATCAGCTCTTGAGGCAACTGACAGATTTAAATGTAGCGGCGGGCACCTCCTACTCATCCGCCAGTGCATTTGTCACGGACGCAGTGGAGTACTGCTGTCCTTCAGCCGTCAAGTGTCCCAAAATCCTGAAACGCATTGTTAAAAGCAAGCATCGTGGCTGCTTAAAGCTTTTAGTATGTTTTTGAAGAAAGAACTGCAGCTTTTTCTACTCGGACTTCCTTTCCGCAGCATGGCGTGTTCCCCCTTGTGCAACTTGCAAAGCCATGCAAGTGGTGTATAGCACTTCCTGAACCTAATAGTCAAGTGTAAATCTTATCTTTCAGCCTATTCATATCAATGCATGTATGTTGCGCGTCAAGTACCGGCCAAGTGGCTCCGCGTCACTACGTCTGAAGAGTGGCAGGCATTAGGTGTGACGTGAAATAATAGGCTTAAGCCGCAGCGGCAAAGCAGAAACCCAAGTAGCCGACATCTTCCCTATCTAAGGCTGCAATCATGTTCCTTAATACTGCGTGAGGAAGGCATTCACATTTTCCTTATCTACGTAGGACGCTTGTGCTAGCACTCAACGCGCCAAATAGTCGACGAAGAGGAAAGCACTACAATCCGTTTTGCTTTCGTTACTGGCCCAAAGAAGTACCTAGCCGTGGCTTTCCCCAGCTGTCTCCTGCCAGTGTATGTAGTGGGGTTGATTTCACAAGTCTTCCTTCGTTACCTGGCAACAGTGCACGCAGTTTTTACGGAATTAAACGTTACGTGCCATGGCGCCGCAGATTACACTTTGTTGGGTTTTCCTGACCAAATTGCTTTTTTGTGATAAGTGCATTTTTTGAATTTTTGATAACCCCTCTGCACCGGTCCTTGTTCCTCTGCTCTCGCTCCAAGCTCAAGCTCATCACCCTTTGCTAATCAAAGAATACCATTTCGTATGGCCAGCCAGATAGGTAATACATTACGTGCTATCAGAGCGACTGGAAACCAGTAAATTTATTGCTAGCGAGGAAAGCAGCCTGCGGCCAGCTGTCTCGCAGAACTCATGCATGTTCAGAAGCGGCAGTTAAGAGAAATGGTAGAGGATTGAAAATGAGCAATTTGGCTATTCCAACTTCAAGTTCTGCTGCAAAGCAGTAATTTCGCGTTGTAAACCCTGGACACTGTGCCGCAAAGACGCTATGTTTCAAGAAAATACAGCATAGGCCACCTGTCTGATGGAATAGCCTGGTTGCAAAGTATTCCCGTTCTGCCCAGGACCAGCATTTGCTGCCAGTCCTATTAGCTGCTCCTCCTACTCGTGCGTGGCTTCCGCTCCACAGCTTGTTGTAGGCTGTGCTTCCCCGCTAATGATAAATGCGCCGGCCTTCAGTCACCGTGGCAGAGCGCTGCTTCGCAAAGTTCATGACAGAGGCCCTAAACGTGACAACGTGTTCTTCAGCAGAGCGGTCTGCCAGAACTCACTCGCAGCCGGGCTCCCTTTCCAATCTGACTTCAACGCTTGGCCACCAGCTTCTGAAAGCGCAGAGCCTAACATGCACGGCGACCAGTTTTCTCTATTTGGCTTTGAAGCCATGAAGGGGAGCTGGGCTGGGCAGTTTCGCAGGCTTCCTTCCACATTGGAGGTTCAGCCCAACACCGCGTGAGCCGCTGCTGAACGTAGTACAAAGAAGCGAAGGACGAATGGGTTGCCTTACCTCTCTTGTCAGGCTAAGGTTGATGAGGTGGGGGCGACAGGTGCTTCGCACAGCTCAAGAGTCTTTCCACTGGTTACTTAGTATTTAACGCTGCTATTTGCTCAGATATATATAGTATAAACAGCTGCTATAAGCTGAGAGTGCAAGTTATTGAGCGCTTAAAACTGCTAAAAACTGAGACCTGCAAATGTGCCCAACTATCAGCGTGCCCCTTGCGAAAAACCATGAAAAGTGCCTCACCTCCGCATAAAAAATGGAATTTTTAGTCAGATGGAACGAATATCCATTTTGTGAAGCAGAGTAAGGGAGTGTGGCTGAGCGTGCGAGCCACAGGATATAATCTTCGCGCCCAGATTGAATAGTGAAAGAAAGCGGCTCCACTGCAGCAGACAGGTCTAGTAGAGAGTTGAATGCTTTGATTTATTCCAATTCACATAATATTTGCACGAATTCCTTGGAGTAAGGGTGGGTAAACCTCCCCCTGCAGGCAGCTGCCGCAGTACTTTCCAAGCGGGCCACTCAAGTTGCACAAAATAGTGCATCTTTTTAGTAAATGGAGACCATTGACTAGGTAGCAATCCACTACACAGATCACGCGCTCTAAGGGCAAACATAATTCAAGCTTTGAAACTATTACCTGATGTGCTTTAGTGGGATATGCTTACCCTTTCGTTTTTGTGCCTGTGTTTACCAGGGACTAGGAGTGTTTTTCCCTCTCTTGTAAATACAACCACTGTTATTAGCTGCAATCAAGTCTCACGCTATATAGGAGCTAGTAACAAGTGAAGTTATTCCGAAACATTCAAGGAGTCAGCCCTCCACGTCATTCCTACATATCCTTTAAGAGTACCGCCAACGGCCGGCCAACATTTGGGATTCGTGTTCCCTAGGTTGCAGTGAGAGTAAATCAGCTATAAACTGCTCAATCACTTGAAAGTATACAGAAATTCACTCACAAGTGGACGCCATAAGTGTCCACTTTCAATGGTCCATTTCTTATTTTCCATTCGTTTCAGTTCTATCATGCTTTTGGTTTGGGCATTTTCAAACTGGCTCCGTTCCTCCTCCACATGACTGTACCACTTTGCTGTTTCGCTTGTGTTTGTGTGTTAGTTTAGACGTATGTTTGCTTGATTTCCTTCTGTCAGATAAGGACAATTCATTTGACCTTCAAGAACACAGTATTTGCTTCCACCTGTATTCGAGTATTCTACCTGTCTGGTGAGGCCTGGCTTGGATTGAGCCTGAAGGATCTAACTGATTTACATTCATAAAACCACAAAATCAACATAAATCCACAACTTCATGGGCATTCACAACAACCGTGCTCAGGAGGCGAAACATCCTGATTCAAAGGTATCCTGTACTAAATGCCTCTTCTGCGCAGGTTCCAATTCTAATAAACGTGGATATTTGGTTGTAGCTCCGTCACCAAATAGTGTGTCCCAATTAAAGCCGATTTCTTCGAAGCTTTTTAGTATAAATCTACGTCACAGAGTTCATGATTTGCATGCGCTGTCTGTGCAGAGCCAAGCAAGGACGACAATCACCGTTGAACACAACACTAAAATACTAAGTAATTTAGCGTAGTATACAGCATACAATACGAAAGACCAAGTAGCTTCGCGCAGCATAAAGAATACTCGAGTCGCACTGCCGACTGTTCGCAGTCCTGCACAGCTGTCTACTGGGCGCTGTCACCAGCCTTTGTAGACCTGGTATTCCGAGTTCAGCATCAGCGAGTATACATTTATATCGTTAGATTGAAGTAATTCGAGTAACTGATCTACTGAAATTAAACAATCATTACCCCGCAGACTTGAAACCTACAAAACTCTGGGTCTCGCGTCAAATGCGATCTGCCTTGCTGGCAATATTGTGAGGCGCTGTCCATGCCCACAATATTCACGGGACAGTATTCCAGTGCAGTTCAAGTATTTTTCGTTTTAAATACTTGTGCACGCTTGTAATACGCATTTCATGGAAAATCTCGGAATATCGTGCTCTGCAGCAGTCTGCCAAATATTTGTTTGGCTTCCGTTGAGCCGACTGATATTTCCTCAATGTATTAGTCCCCTTGAAAGAGACAATGGAATTAAAAACAACCCAACCCTGTTTCTTAATGTAGTTTTTGATGAAGAAGTCCCATCAGCTAATGGAGGCTGCATGCAGTGGCCACAGCCCCCCTTTTGCCCTCATGTGGGGTAGGGCGCCTGGCTCTGTGGAAATGCTGGCGGAGTATTTCGTGTTTTGTTGGTCTATCTTCGTCGCACCTTTTGTATTTTTTCATTTAATTAAGTTTAGCGAAGATGGCGGCCAACACAAACGTAAGCCTTCAGCCTCACACCTGTTGGGAAGCGCGCAGCGCTGGGGCTGCGCGGCCTCCGCCGCTCCAAGTTTATTCTGCTGGTTTTTCGCCTCGAAGATACTTCCTGATGTCTACAGCATCTTATTTATGAACTCTTGTCTCCGGAGAAAGGGCGTTTCAGGGTGGCGCTGCCATGAGGCGTCCCGAGTGCTGCGGGAGGCCTCTCTGTGTGCTTGCATTCTCGTTGTGTGCGGGTTTTGCTGCTCTTTCTCGGCTGCCTGCGAGTGTTAAAATGATATTAGAGATCTATTTTCGAAGCAGCAGCAGCAGGAGCAGCGGCAGCAGGACCAGTCCAGCAGCAGAACATGAATATTTGTGGAGTTGCATTCCAGTTTCGTTCCGCTGCTTCCCAGTCTGGCGGGCTGCATCTTTGGGAGTGCATTACTTTTCTGCTTCCGGGGGTTTCCGAGGCTTTATTGCGCCACTTTTGAATCCTTTTCCGCTTCGCATGGCTCTATTTCGTCTGTCTGTCGTTTGCCGGTTCTTGGCTGCGGGATCTCGGTGTTTCCTGCTGCTGCGTGGCCTGCGGCGAGTGGACTGCTCGCCAGTCGGGTGCAGCGCGTGGCTTTGGGGCTGCATGCGCGCGAATTAAATGCACCAATTGACTTTTTTCGTGTGCTGCTGCCGGTTGTTGCGGTGCTGCTGCTGCAGATATCGAAGAAGCGGAAGTTCGTGAACGACGGGGTGTTTCAGGCGGAGCTGAACGAGTTCCTGTCGCGCACTCTGGCGGAAGACGGCTACTCGGGAGTGGAAGTTCGCGTGACTCCAATTCGAACGGAAATAATAATAAGAGCGACGCGGACTCGCGAGGTCTTGGGCGAGAAGGGCCGCCGCATTCGCGAGTTGACTTCCCTCGTGCAGAAACGCTTCGGCTTCCCCCCAGACTCTGTGGAGCTCTTCGCCGAAAGAGTCGAGAACAGGGGCCTCTGCGCAATGGCCCAGGCAGAGAGTCTTCGCTACAAACTCCTCAAGGGCCTCGCCGTCCGCAGGGCTTGCTACGGAGTGCTCAGACACATCATGGAGAGTGGCGCCAAGGGTCCGCCAGCGGGCTTCTGCTGCTGCTCTTGCTGCTGCTCGTGCTGCTGCGCCTTGCTGCTCCCTTTTCGCTGCGAGACGCGGATCCTCTGTCTCAGTTGCTGCTGAAACAACGCCATAGTCCTCCAGCAGCAGCAGCAGCAGCTGCTGCTGCTGCTGCTGATACTGCCGCTGCTGCTGATGATAGTAGTGCTGCTGCTGATAGTAGCGCTGCTGCTGCTGGTGACGGTAGTGCTGCTGCTGCTGACGATAGTAGTGCTGCTGCTGCGGAGCCGCTGCTGCTGCTGCTGCTGGGTCTCAGGCTGCGAAGTGGTGGTGTCTGGTAAGCTGCGGGCTCAGCGCGCAAAAAGCATGAAGTTCAGAGACGGATATATCATTTCCACTGGCGAGCCTCGCCAGCGCTTCGTCAGCCAGGCCATTCGCTCCGTCCAGCTGCGCCAGGTGCGCTTCGCTGCTGCTGCTGCTGCTGCTGCTGCTGCTGCTCTTTGAGCTGCTTTGCAGCGTTTAAAGTTGTGGAATTTTGTCATTTTTTGTTTTTAAGTCGAAGTGAACGGCAGATCGCGCGGCAGAAGCCACTTCTTGAAGCCTTGGGCCGTTTTTGTGTTGTGCACAGCAGCAGCATTTGCTCCACATAATATCTCACGGCCATTTATTCTTTATTTTATTTATTAATTTTGTTCTTTTTGGAGTTCTAGTAGCTGCTAAAAGTGCCTCCGCAATGCTGCACCTTTTGCTGCTGCTGCGCGCATGCACTGGAGCTGCCGGTGTTGCATTCACAACTCTAAAAGTGCCCCCATATCTGACCACTAAGGTCCACTGGTCCAGACAACTGCAGCACGCCACTGCAGCCCACCGCCGCAGCAAACCACTGCAGCAAGCTGCTGCGGCAAGTGCAGCCCCCCTCTGCTGCTGCTGCTGCTGCTGCTGCTGCTGCTGCAGGGAGTGCTGGGCGTGCGGGTGAGCATAATGCTGCCGTTCGACCCCGAGGGCAAAATGGGCCCCTCGACTCCCTTGCCCGACACCATCATCGTCTCCGAACCCAAACCCGAACTTCCCGTTGCAGTCCAGGACCCCGAGCTCGCTTTCCCCACCATGTGAGCTGCTGCTGCAGCTGCTGCTGCTGCAGCTGCTGCTGCAGCAAGCTGCAGTTTGCTGCGGCTTGCTGCAGTTTGCTGCGGCTTGCTGCAGTTTGCTGCGGCTTGCTGCAGTTTGCTGCGGCTTGCTGCAGTTTGCTGCAGCTTGCTGCAGTTTGCTGCAGCTTGCTGCAGTTTGCTGCAGCTTGCTGCAGTTTGCTGCAGCTTGCTGCAGTTTGCTGCAGCTTGCTGCAGCTTGCTGGCAGCCAGAGGGGATGCTGCAGGGCAGCAGCAAGGAAGGGAAGCAGCAGAGGGCTGGGCTGTGGGGTGCTGCTCCTTTTGCTGCTGGCGGGGCAGGGGGAACAAAAAGGATAATTTAATTCGAGTTGGAACGCTTTGATTTGGTGACAGTGAAAAGCTTTGTTTCTCTGCGCTGCAGCTGCTGCTAGTTTCCTTTAGCTAGCGCTGAAGACAGTTTCGGGCGGGCAGCTATGGACCAGCAGCTGCTGCTGCAGCAGCAGCAGCAGCAGCAGCTTCACTAGTACATCAGATGCAGCCATTTACAAATTTAAAGAGCTGCAGGGTTTTTAGTTTGCATTTATTCAGTTAGTAGATTTGCCCAGAAAGAGAAGGGCCAGAGGGGGGGCCGCCAAATCGCCTGTTGTCGACTTGCGTGGGAGTGGGGTATCCCTGAAGAGGAGGCAAAAATAAACGAGAAAATGGAAAAGAAAAGATTTAATATTTAAAACAGAATAGTAAAAACAGAAATGAAAGGGAAATGAAAGGCTAGAACGCGAAAGCGAGAAGTGGTCCGCAGCCGTACTTGGGGTGTATGTACACCTCCGGCCCCCCAGAAAATCTGCCAGCCGTTCGATGCAGAAAATTTGCAAATCAGAAAAATGATTCTTACGGCGTTTGCAGAGACTGTCTCGGGGCCTGCAAGTCGAATTAGGATGGCATGTTAAATTATTTATTTCATTTATTTCATAAATTGAAGAAACTTCAAAATTTTGAAATTCAACTTTTCGCAAATGCAGACCGAGGGCCCCAGTGGGCCCCGCGGACTTGCCCTGGACTTTCGCCTTCGCCGCAAAGACCGCGCCGTCCAGCTTGAGAAATAAAATGAGAAATGAATTTAAAAACAAGTTTAGAAATCAATTTAATTGATAAACCAATTAATTTAATTGGGAAGTAAATCGGGATATTAATTGGGAAATTAGTCAAATTGAAACTGAGATGGTGAGAAATTAATCTAGAAATGAATTGGACTGGGAAGAAACTGAGGAATGGATCGAAAGAATGAATTGGGAAATTAAGAAATGAGTTTTATTGAAAGCAAATTGAGAAGTCATCTCAAAAATGAATTGAACTGAGAAGTGAATGAAATTGAGAATTGAATTGAAGTGATTTGAAGTTAATTGAAAATTGAATTTAATTGAAAATTGAATTAAATTGCAAATCGAATTAAAACGAATTAATAATTAAAATTAAAATTAAATAAAACGAATTAATGGTCAAATTCAAAGTTTAATAAAAACGATTTAGGAATTAAATATAAAATTAAGTAAAATGAATTAATAATTGAATTCAAAATTAAACAAAATGAACTAATAATTGAATTTAAAATTAAATAAAATGAATAATTAAATTCAAAATGAAGGCTGCGGGCCAATTAGGGCTTACGGGGATCATCGCGGGAGTGCCGGAGCAAAGCCAAATATGATTTTCGAAATTCGGCAGAGACAAAAGACCCGTAGACAAACCTGAGCACATCTGCATCATCCCAATGGCCTTCATTGCATGCATGCATGCATGCATGCATGCATGCATTCATGTATATATTCTTAAAAGCACGCATGCATGCATGCATGCGTATATCCATAGATATGCATGCATGTATATGTCCCTAAATACATTCATGCATGAGTTCATACACCTCATGCATGCATGCATGCATGTATGCACATGCATATGCATGCATGCAAGCATGCATGCATGCATGCATGCATGCATGCATGCATGCAAGTGCTGCTAGTGGGAAGAGTGCATTACTGAAGGTTGCGTAGGAGCAGTCTGCGTTTTGGCTGCACAAAGCCGCGCCTTCTGCAGAAAGAAAAAGTAAAAAAGAAATAAAGTCCGTTAAATGATTAAAATGATTAAAATGATTAAAATGATTTAAATGGTTGGAATAAGTAAGGTGATTTAAATAAGTAAAATAATCGAATAAATTAGATAAATTAAATAAATTAAATGATTTAAACTGTTTAATTTGTTCAAATTGTTTAAATTTCTTTTCATTTCTCACCTTGCACATCTTGGACTGCTGCTGCTTTTTGAAGAGTGTTGCTTTGGAGGCAAATTCCAAAGTAGTTCAAATAAACGGCAAAGCCATGAGTTCTGTTTTTGAGTTTTATTTTTTTGTTTTGTTTGTTTTCAATTTCACTTTTTGATTTATTTGTTTTAATTTGCATATGTGGTTTTATTTGTTTTAAACTTCATTTGTCGTTTTATTTGTCTTTAATTGCATTGATTATTTGACAAACTCTTGCAGTTAAGTTGATTGTTTGTTCAACTTTGAATTGAATTAATTCTTTTCTTAATTTGAATTATTTAAATGAGCAACTCACAGAAACTCCGAAGGCTTCACGGCCACAGCGAGGCCACTTCTGGGGGCCGCGTGGGCCCAGCCCTTTCCTGAGGACTTGTTGAAAAGTTGCAAATTTGAGTTTTCAAAGTTTGGCAAACCTGAGCAAAAACGAACTGCAGCATTTGCTGCTTCGTCGAACACGAAAAAGCTGCACTCGGGATCTTCGTCGCAAGCAGCAACTGCCTCCGCCTGACGAAGTTGCATGCATTGTTTGCATGCAGTTGTTTGCATTGCATGCATTTATTTTAAAAGTTAAAAAAATAATTCGTCGCATTCTACAGATCTGCAAAATTTGCGCAAAAACGGCCCCGAGCGTGCGCATGCACGCGGTGTACGTACACCCCAACTCCCGCGCACACCCGCCCTCCGCCCTGCGAGTCTCACCAGATTATTTACTTCTGTTTGTTTTATTTTCGCCTCTTCTTTCGAATTTCTTTCTTGGTCTCCTGTGCAATTTGCACTTTTGTTGTTGATGAACAAATAGTGCGGAGTCACGCCGGAAATGTAGCCCCGCTCGTGGGTGTAGAGAGGAGCAGGTTCTCTGAAATAAAATAAAGAAATAACATAAATAAATAAAATAAATAAAGTAAATAAAATAAATAAAAGATTTAAATCTTTTTAAGATCACAACAAAGATGATTAACGGTGCAGCACGCATGCATGCGCATGCGCACAGACTTCAAAAAGCTTTAGAAATAATTTAATTTAAATGTTTATTTAAACAAATGCAATAAAACAATAATTCACTTCTATCCCACTATTGAAATGCGCAGCAGCAAACGCATGCAGCTTCTGCTGCAGCAGCAAAAATAATGCATGCAATAGAAGCAAAGTAATGCACGCAGGAGCAGCAGCAAAATAGTGCATGCGATACAGACAAAATAATGCATGCAGCAGCAGCAGAAAATTAATGTATGCAGCAGCAGCAAAACAATGCATGCAGAAGCAGCAAAATAACGCATGCAGCAGCAGCAAAATAACGCATGCAGGAGGGCTTAAGCCAGGAGCTTCTGAGGAAGTTCGACTTACGTGATGGGCTCGCAGGTGAAATCTGGAGAAGACAAAAAGAAAAAGAAAGATTAAAATGCTGCATGCATTTTGTTGCTGAAGAGAAAAAGAAAAGCACCTGCGGCTAAGAGGAGCTCTGCGGTGTCTGTACACTGGAGAGGCCTTTCTTCGTGCGCGAACATCTCCGGAGTTGGCGAAATCTGAAAAGTTAATTTAAGAAAAAAAACAGAATTGAAGAAGTATTAAAGGCAAAGTTGTGTGCAAAATAGACAATTCAGTGGACAATAAATGGACAATTAAATAGACAATTAAATGGAGAATTAAGTGGACAATTAAATGCATTTTATAAAATTTTAAAATAAAAATATAAACAATTAAAAGTCTTGTTCTCACTTTGCAAGTTGTTTTGTTTCTGCACTGTGAGCGGGCCACAGCGAGACTCGTCGAGTAGTGGCAGCGCCCGGCTCTCCACTGCCCGTTCGCTGCAAAAGTCTCTATTAAAAGTTGTTTATTTATTTATTTTGTTGAATTAATTTATTTAAATGCACTAAATTGCATTTATTTAAATTGTACACGTAAAGCTGACTCACAAGATATGCTGGGCGTGCCGAAGGACGCCTGGGTCACGTTCACCCAAGTCCCGGGCGGGCACTTGAGCAGTACGTGCTTTCCCTGGAAAATAAATGCATTTAGAATTACTTCATTTTATTATTTATTTTAAATTTAATGTTTAAAATTCAAATTTGAATCTTATTTCTCTTTCCCCCCGATTTATGGCGGGGTGGAGGTTGTCGGTTCGGTGTGACAGTGGTGTGTCTGCTCTCCACTTCACTCGGGATTTCACTTTTCTGAACTTTCTGCAGAATCTTTTCCACTTTTTCTGCACTTACTGCTGAAATTGTTCGAGAGCCTGGCATGAAATGTTTGTAATGTTCATTATTGATGAATCCGTAGAAGTAAATTGGGCGGGCGTCATCGGCTTCGGTGGGGGGGTAGAGCGTCCGACTGAGGTTTCGAGCGGCCACAAAGGCATCGGGGCTGCCACAGAGAAGAAAAACGAGGACAAAAGTTGAAATAAAATTCAAAATTAACTGTTTCATTTGCTCTTCAACTAAAACGGGAAATTTAATCATCCATTATCTGCTTTTTCCGTGTTCTTGTTCCGGTGTCACCGTCGCTGTCCGGCATCTGTACACCGCAACTGCAGTCAAGTTCTGTTCGCCGCGTTAGCTGAGCTTTGTCATTTATTTTACTTTATATTATTCTCTTATTTAGCAAACACAATAAATACAACTTTGTTGATCGATTTATTGCTGCTCCTCGACGTCTCAAGGTTTCACTTTCATTGCAAAACAGGTACAGCAGCTTTA